CTCTTCTACTATATCCTCGAAAAAATCTCAAGAAATCTCCGTGCGATGCGCTCGGTGAGTGATATATTACCATTATCACTCCTTTATATAATTTATCTTTTACTTCTACCGCAAACACCAACAATTCGATTCTAATTTTTTTTCCCTCTAATACTATTTCATATTTAATATCGCTTCTAACGTATAAAATAACTCCTCCCGTATTCCTATTCTCAGCATTACATCTAACTATACTATAACCGGAACGTTCACTTCACTGTCTTCGATATCCTCAGTCACTCTGGTCTCCGATAATGCTAAGAACGCAGGATTTATTTTCTTCATGATCTGATGTTGTATCTCATCTCTGTGCGCAATTAAACTTTGCGCATTTGTATATAGTATTATCTCCGCTTCTTCCTGTGGTTGCTATTTAGCGTCCTCCCAGCCTGCTCTCCTCTTCTCCTCCCGTAGCGCCCTCTTAAAGGTCGGACATTCCGGACTAAGGGCGTCATGGTCATCGCTTATATTCAGATTGTATGTTCGATTTTTGAACATACAATTCACACATTTCTTCTTTGTCGCTGTACAATCACGCGAGTTATGACTTCCTGCACATTTATAGCATGCTTCCTCTCGCGTACAATTTTTGCAATATGATAATATCCCCAGCATTTGAAACATCTTTTAACATTGATGTGATTAAATACCGGACACTTCTTCCATCCTACACTTAGCTTTCTTTCTTCAATATCAGCTCATGTGTCTCTTCATCTGCTTCTATTATTATTGACCCTTCTTCATTTCCTTTTCTTTCAGATTGATTATTTCTCCTTTCTTTGATCATTCTCTTCACAATTCGCATATTTGCTGTATATTTTATTCTGCATCTTTATCGTATTTATAAGTTCATATCATCTAATTTCATCTCTTCTACACCTATATTAATAATTTTTATCTTTGGTTTTGATTGAGGCGACTCTATCACTTTATAATTTTCTCCCAGCTTAGCTTGAACTGTCTCCTTCAATTTTTCACCTCCTCGCCGGTTTCACAACCCACGATCACTGTTCCCTTGCTATCTTTCCTTAATTTCGTTATTCCCATAGCCATACTCTTAATATCCACCTTTTCTTTTATCAATTTTTAGTGGCTTCACTCTCTTGTTGCATTTTCGGCTTAACAATTATAACGTTTTCTTTCTTCTTCCCTTTAACCGCTTCACTGTAGCTTATCTGCGATTCTTCCTTTGATACACATGTTACTCCCTGTATCATTTTCTTCAAGTTTTCCAGTTCTTGCTTAACATTTACTAATTCTTCTTGAACTACTTCTTTAATCATTAGTTTAATTTCATTTTTACAGGCTGTTTCATTTTTATTTCTTTTACAGTTTTTATGATCCAGTCTACTTTTACATCAATGCCTGATCCTTTACTTGTGAACGATCCTGCAGATCCCACGGACCCTGTAGACGATGTCCTATCTCTTCCTGCCGTCTTCATGTTTGTTTCTTTACTATCAATCAAAAACTCCTCAAATGGGCCTTTACACGGCACTAATTCTTGTCTACTGTCCAGAATTTTATGCTTAATTACACCATCCTGGATGGTAAAAAGCTTATTTATACAAGTTTTGCATTTGACGACTTTATTCTTTATTGCCTTCCTACATGCCGAGCATCGATACTCTGCATATTCATCGTCCATGCCGATAATTACCGGCCGAAACCGCTAATATCAGCCTAATCGATCACTCACCTGTGATCCACTTTCCACGTATAATGTCTACTTGTCTTACGAGACTTCAATGCCCCGAAGAATAAATTCACTGCTCACAGTCACAGATCGCCATATCCCGGCTAGATAACTTTCATAGCTATCCCCTTTTTATGGCAGCGTAACTTGAATAACTTATTATACTTCTTTTCCACTGTTTACCGGTGAAAACTCAGTATTTTGACAGAGCGATGTGACACATGTCTTCTCCACTTCAGAGAGAGAGAGAGAGAGAGAGAGAGAGAGAGAGAGAGAGAGAGAGAGAGAGAGAGAGAGAGAGAGAGCACAAAAGTGGAAGCAGTCATTCTAGTAGGCTCATTAATCGAAATCGGAGGTGCCTTCTCACATCTGCATAATTACCCTAACTTTGTTTTTAACTATATGTTTTCGTTATCTCTGAATAATTCATGTAGCTATGAGATTAGTGATCTAGATATTAAATTATCGTATATGGGAATAAACAAACTTAATCTTTTTATCAAGGCACACAGAGATAAATTATCTAAAGAATTACAAAAAAAATGTGGTGTATAAAATTTCTTACAACAATTATTACACCTTATTTTTATGTTGGACAAACCTGCACATTTTTTAAAATAAGTATAAATAAACATTGCAATTAGGAATACGCAACACTCAATAATAACAAATCGCAAGTTGTTAAATCATGAATTTAATTGAGATAACGTGTGGAGATCTTAGACAAAGAGCTGAGGAAGAAAAATGACGTCTGAAATGTGATTAAAAGATTAATTAAAAATAGTTTAAATCTCCCATCTCTATCATAGTAATACCGAATATTTAGGTCGCATTTATCTTCCAATTTTTGAGAATATACCACAAATTTGTTCTTGTCGCGCATTTATATATCTTTTCACGTAGATGATACACGTAATGTTTTCATTAAAATAACCAAAAGTGAAATTAAAATGTTTAATTTTAATTAATAAATATTGTATCTCTAAAATTATTTAAAAGTTTTTATTCATGCCTTTATCTCGCATTTGGATATTATATAATAGCTTTTTTTATTATCGATATTATCAATTTTACATCATTAAAGAAAAAAGAAAGAAGAAAATAAAAAAGTCAAATAGTGTAAAGAACGTGTAATCGAATCATATAAAAAGGCTATAATAATTTTATCAATCTCTGATTTTTATATAATATATGTATATCAATATATGTATAACGAAAGTACTTTTATTTTTGGTCTACGGTTGCCTTAATATTTTTAATATATTATTATTTTAATCGAGTTTAATCAAATTTAAAGTATTATAACATATTATTTACAACATTATTATTTTAATTCTAATATCATATGTAGATCTTATAACATATTATTTTACAACATTATTATTTTAATTCTAATATCATATGTATTGTAGATCTCGGTGTAGAGCTTATTGTAAATAATACGCAGATATAATTGTATATCTTGTCTATTTTTAAAAGATTATCTTTTGTACCTTCGTCCTATTAGGACGCGGTTCTTTCAAGATAAATGCGAAAAATCATATTAAAGCGATTACTTTAGAACGTTCTACGTTGTTGAAGCATGGGACTTAAAAATATTATTCTCGGATAAGGTATTTAATAATATGTGTTTTAATTTATTATAATACTCAAGTGTCAATTAGTATTTTTGACAGGTATCAGCTGATTTTTGTCAAATAACATTAATGGAGGACAAAGTATTGTAACATGTTATTTACATTACATTTTTAATTTTTAACATGTTATTATTTTAAAATTTAAAATTGGAAAATTAACACTTTGTTAATATTTTCGACCAAAATTAGCTGATTAAAGCAATAACATTGCAACCTTCTGTTGCCTTTAAAAAGTAAGATATATATATAAAAATGAAAAATGTTATTTATAGGGATAATGCATTCATGGCATCTGATCAGAATTTTCAGATACATAAACCTTTTTACAAAAAACATTTCAAATATCACAAAAAAAAACTACTTTTTTATTACATTTATTAAATTTCAATTATTTCGGAAACCTTAATTATTTCGGCTCTTTACCTATCGTGCTGATGAAAATTAGCTTGCGGCGTTTTCAGCATTCAAAAATCTATAAGAAACACTTTTCTAATTTAAAATAATTTTTGGCTGTAAACTAGTGTAATTTTCATAACTGACTAGCTATTCAAAGAATAAATAAAGAAAATTTAAATTTCAACGAATTAGTAAAATCTAGACGCAGATAAAGTGCGCCAGTTTCAAGAAAAATAATTTTTCATTGAAATTGATTAATTGTGCACAAAATTATTTTCAGTACAAAAAATGTAATAAAGTGATAAAATAAATTTTCATTCAAGATTTTTATTTTAATAAAATAGTTACATTTTAACTTTCCTAAAAAAGCATAAGTGAAAAAATCGGGAAATAAAGAAAAATAATTTCCCTCATTTTATGTGCAGAAATAAAAAAGAATGTTCAGAATTTCCTACTTTAATTTACTATTAAACTAATTAAAGTCAAAGTTTGACAGATGGTTTGTAAATTTGGATTCTATAGATTTCTATATACAATATTTATTACTTTTCAGTTAATTTCCTGACTGCATAAATTAATAAATAAAAAAAACAGAATTTTAATTGGAACTTTGTGATTCTCTATAACAATTTCCCTTTTGCATAGACGAACATTTCTATTTCTTGAATTAAAGGGAGAGAATTTTTAAAACGTGTTTTTTGATAATTTCTTATATCCATTCCTAAGAATGCTTTCCGTATCGGATCTGAACTGAAAATCTAAACTTAAAAACTGTGTTCTTATCTAACCAGCTTCTCCCGATACAAAAATTTCTTGTTTTTATCCCTTTTGTCCACCAATAACTTTCCACCGATTTTCGATGCCAAAATTCCTTGCTTTTATCCCTTTTATTTACCAATAATTCCTATCCAAATTTTCTATCCTTTTATAAAAGAATAATTTTACCCTTTTTTCTTACATGTTTGAAGAATTTCCCTAATATACTATTCACGCTTTTAAACTCATATACATACTGATTAATGTATTCAAACTTTATGTGCATTTTTCAAAGATATATTTATTTAATTTGATGACTTATTACCCAAGTAGCAAATGACGTCATTTTAATTTAATTTTTTAATTTAAAAATATTTTTTTATTCTTAACATAAATCGGTAAGTTCGCGTTTTGTTTTTATATGTATTTTAATTGTGGAAAAGCATTTATTATTCTATTCAACCAATAAAAGGAAAAGGGTGCACAAAAATGATATTTTATCGATAAAATTGGACGGCGTTTAGAATCCCCTTAATAAAGAATTTACGAATCTATTTTGTTTACAGTAAGGGCGCTGGGCGTAGCGGCGACGAAATGAAGCATGCAGCATGCGTGGTAGCAGTGTCACGGCTGCGCGGTCTTGCCTTCAACCCCTAGTGCCTGCCAGTCGCTATCTTGCTGTATATGCTCTTCCTGGTGATCCTTTCTACTTCATCGTTGATGTGAGATAACTGTCAATTATTTATTATTCATTTACGAACAATTACACACCACATTTACATTATACATCCACTGATGCTAGATTTGAGACACTACAGCAAGCGCATACGTCATTTTGACGTTTAATGGCGTCAGTTTATTATTTGGGACATTAAACTAACAAGAGCAGTTAAGGTCCATCTACATCTATCGTAACACTTCATCGTAAGCGATCGTAAGCGTAAAGAAAAAAATTGTCGTAAGCATTGTCTGTCTACATAAATCGTAACAGATAGCCGTTTTATATCTTTCTCGAGAAAGATACCAATTTTCAATTGTGGTTATTGATCTGAGAACAATTGACAGACAAGCATCGCAAACAGCGTCGCAATTATCGTCGCAATTGTTAGAGTTGAAGTTGAACCAACTCATACGATAAGCATACGACAGTTGTTACGACGAGCGTTACGATCATCGTAAGAAGTTTACGATAGACATGATAGACTTTTAGACAACTCGGAAATTTAAAAAATTCTGAAACTTTGTGTACAAGTAGAGTAGTTCATCCGTAACACAAAACTATTTTTTGTTCGTGCTGAATTAGATCGGATCTACAATAGGTGTAGTAAGCCTTAAGTCTTAAGAAATTCACCAATCACAGTCAAGAATGAGGGGAATAATCGACTGTGATTCATCAATTTCTTAAGGCTTATAGTTTACTACACCTATTGTAGACCCGGCCTTACGGTTTAAGGAGGTGAAATCATCCCTCATAGTAGAATGGCTTTTCGCTTTTCTCGATATATTTCGAAAATTATTTAAGATATCAAAAAATGTTTTAGACAAAAATTTTATAGCAAAAACACCTCTATTTAAACACGTTAATAAAAGATTACACGTTAATAATTAAAGTTTCGAATAATTTTGAAAAATTATTTTTTCAAAGTTTTATTAGCGTGGTAAAATAGAAATCTGTTTACCATAAAACTTTTATCCACAACATTTTTTAATATCTTGAATAATTTTCGAAATATATCGAGAAAAGCAAAAAACCATTTTACTTATGAGGGATGATTTCACTTCCTCAGACTCTAATGCAGCACGAACAAAAATAGTTTGGTGTTGCGGATAAACTACTTTACTTGTAGAAAAACTTAGAATTTTTTAAATTTAATATATGTTTAAAGAATATAATATGTTTTAAAGAATGATAAGAATTTATATTGTCCGCAATTAATAAAAAAAATATTTTAGTAATTAATTATAAGCAATGTTGCTTATTGTCAGTGAAAAACAACTAATTAAAAAATATTTAGTGTATTCTAGTTTTGAGACTTTCGCGGCCATTGGAATTATCAATGCAAAAGGCTTCCGGATGGATGCCGCGTGGTTAAACAGTGTAAGGCGCATCTACATAAGACGCAGAACGCAGATCGCAAGACGCAACGCAATGCGACAGTCAATCAAATCGAGAAAAAACATTTGACACTTTTTTTTCTCGTTTTGAGTAATTGTCGCATTGCATTGCGTCTTGTGATCTGCGTTCTGCGTCTTATGTAGATGCACCTTAATGCCGACGTTTCGCAAACGTTGCAATTTGCATTTTCAGGGCTGAGAGCGACCTTTTTGGGTTGTGGTTCTTATATATATATATATATATATATATATATATTGTGTGGGAGGTTTTTTATTTACGGAAAAGTATTCCGTTATAACGCCCCCTAGTGGTGTGAGTGTATATTAAAAGCATACAAGGCTCTTCGCTTCTCAAGAATGCAGGTCTTTCTCCTCAAACAATTAAAAAGCTAATCCTCCGAGACTCTTCAGCCCTCAGACTTTATGATCTCTCGAAAATTTATAAAGATTCAGTTCCATTACGCCCTATTGTCAGTAATATCGGAGGACCCACTTATTAATTAGCTCAATTTCTTGCCAAACCTCTCCAAATTCTTACGGGACTCAATGATTCTCACATCAAAAACTCAATAGACTTTGTGAGCAGGATTACCAAACTCAAAACAAAAACTAATGACATTCTTGTCAGTTTTGATATAGTATCTTTGTTTACGAATGTTCCAGTACAAGACACTCTAGATATTATTAAAAATCTGGAAATATTGACTCAAATTTTTTCCCATTAATAGAATATTGCCTAACCTCAACCTATTTCCAATTTCAAGGAGAGTTCTATGAACTCCGGAGCAGCAATGGAATCCCCCATCTCAACTATCATTGCAAACATTTTTATGCAATACTTTGAGAATAAAGTCTTGAAAAACGCATCTCTCAAATCCTCTACATGGTTCCGATATGTTGATGACACCTTTGTCATCTGGAGTTATGGCAGAGAAACGCTCCCTCAATTTCTCGACTTTCTAAATTCCCAGCACTCCAATATTCAGTTCACAATGGAAATAGAACAGAATATACAGCTCCTCTTTCTAGATGTGTTGGTTAAAAAGAACGAAGACGGCACCTTAGGCCATTGGGTTTATCGAAAACCAACACATACGGATCGTTATCTCCATGTCACCTCTCATCATCACCCGCTTCAGAAGAATTCTGTCATCAGTTCAATTATATACAGAGCCTTAACAATTTCTGAACCAACTTCCCTGAATAAAGAATTAGAACATCTCAACCAAGTCTTGATCAAGAATGAATACAACAGCAAAGACATCAGTCGAACAACTGAAAGGCTGAAAAACAAAATCTCCTGTTCTATAAATATGAGTACATCAAGTGAAAAAGAAGAAGAAAATGAAGATAAAAAATGGACGAGGCTTCCGTATCTTCAGGGTACAATAGAACGCATTAGCAGGATCCTGGGTAAACACAACATCAAAGTAATTTCCAAACCTCAAAATAAAATTGCGTAACTACTTCCTAATCCCAAAGATCGGAGATCATACTTAGAAACACCAGGTGTATACAGGATTTCTTGCTCCTGCGGAAAAGTGTACATAGAAACTGAGAGAAAGATCAGTACACGGAATTAAGGAACACCAACGGAGTGCTAAGTACTGTCATTTTAGTCAATCAGCCTTGGCAGAACATTGGATGGAGACGGGACATTCGGTACAATACGATAAAGCAACCAGACTAGCCTCCTCGCAAAGCTATTTTGCCAGGAAACTTCGTGAAGTCTTAGAAATTCTGAAACATCTCGACAACCTCAACTGCGACAAAGGTTATCAAACAAACCCTATTTGGCACACTGCTCTTAATATACACTCACACCACTAGGGGGCGTCATAACGGAATACTTTTCCGTAGATGAAAAACCTTCCACATATAATATATAAAGATCACAACCCAAGAAGGCTCAGTATCGGAGCTCTCAGCCCTAAAGATGTAAACTGCAACGTTTGCGAAACGTCAGCATTACGCTGTTCAACCACGCGGCATCCATCCGGAAGTCTTTTGTATTGAATATTTAGTGTAATTATCAAAATTAAAATAATGTTTTAATAAATATATTTTGTTATTTTAGGCTAAGTCGAGAGTGAAGGAAGTTTATACGCAAATGTGCATACTTCTCAGTCAGCAGGGTATGCGAGATTGTGAACTTTTCGGCTTGGCAATATTGTCTGGTAAGTTTTATATTTTTTCATATATATATATTGATTATGTCTATAAAGAAGTCAAACTAAGAAAACTTATGTAATTTGAGAAAATTAATGAATTAAATTCTGTTATATCAACCTTTATATTGTGTATAATATATTGCCAGGGTTAGATAATAACTAGTTAATTAGTTAAAAGTTAAAAAAAGTTATATAGTTATTAATTTTTAACTTAGCTTACATAAGGACGGAAGTGTCCCTCATCGATTTTAATGAGCCTTGAATATGTTGTAGAGCATTGAAAAATATTAGATCTATATTTTTTAGCGGCGCATCTTAACGTTTAGAGGGTAAACATCCTTTAAAAAAAAAACGGTTTTTTAATTTCCGAGCTAATACCGTCAAAACGGTAAAAGATATGAAAAAATGTTTCAAGTAAAAGTTTTATGGTTTTTAATGTTTTTTAAAACAATGCAAAAGAATTTTTCAAAAATTTCAAATTTTCCGAAATTATATATATATATCTATAAATTGTTACAAATTTAATTATTAAATATAATATATATAAATATATATATATACGAGGGCAGTCCGATAAGTACTTAGCCTCATCGCCCGATGGTGCCAGTATCGTAAGAGAGTTTTACTATCGTGTAGTACATTCTCGTAGACGGCTACTGTCAAAATTTCAGTCGAATCGGACTCGTAGTTTTGTTTTGACCGTGTGTGGAAGCGGGCGTGTCCGCGATATACAGGGTGTCCGGTAACTAACAGACCAATGATTAAGGGCGGATTCTCTGGCCAATTTGGAGACGATTTTTCCTTAGCAAAAATGTTGAGAAGTCAATAATTTTCGAGTTATAAGCGATTGAAAAAAATAGATTTTTTGAAAACTAAACGTTTTGGAGTTAAAAGTCTAACATAATTACATTCTTCAGTTAATTTCAGGTAGAGTTTACTCTAATAAAATTTTAATTTAAGGCTTAGTTATAAAGATACATAATGACAAAGATTGGAAAGTTGTAAAAAATGATGACTTTTTTCGACATTTTCGCTGAGGAAAAATCGTTCCCAAATTGACCAAAGAATCCATTTGTAATCATTGGTCTGTTAGTTACCGGACACCCTGTATCAAGAGACACGGTAGTGTCTCGCGACCAGTTAAGGGCGTAGCGGAGACACCGTGTATCTTAACGCGAGTCGGACATTTGAGTCTTTATAATATTTCGAATCCTCAATAATGGCTGAAGCAATCGAGTTTATACTAGACTTAATCGATAGATTGAGTTCGAATTATATAATAAAAATGTCTTTATTTCTGCTCTACGTGATTTGTAAGCAGAGATATATAAATGCAAAGTCGAAATATGAAAAATTTCTATTAAGAAACGTCCCCGTCATCATTATCATCATCATTATCATCATTATCATCATCATTATCATCATCGACCACGCATACATAGTAGTATCGTGCTACACGTATTCACACGTATACAACACATGCGCACACATATATCACACGTACACAACACATGCAAGATGCATGTAGTGGTAATTTTGTCCATCTCGCACGTTTTACAACAGATGGCGATAGTGGCGCTCCGCCATATCGGCAGCGTGCGGGGTTATGTTGGCTAACTCTCTCTCTCTCTCTCTCTCTCTCTCTCTCTCTCTCTCTCTCTCTCACACACACACACACACACACACTCTCTCATTCTCACTCACTCACTCACTGTTCGTCTTGTGTACTTATTCAGTACATTCATGATTAAACATCTATATGCATTAATGTGAAATTTACTTACAATTAGTTTACTTGAAATATTCAATCTCTAAAGTGTTTATCTTATAAGATAGACAAAAAAATCTGAGTAAATAATAAGAAAAAAAAACAAGGATTATTATTGTCATAATTTTTTATCAATTAAGTACTCTCAACTATCCAATAATTAAATAAATACGTACAAATGTGCGCGCGTGTACACACATACACATATTGATATTAAAGAGATTGAAGGAGAGGAAGGAGAAGATAAAAATTTAAATATTCACATATATTTTCAAATATATATGAATTTATAGTTTACATATCTAATTAATAATGAATTTCTAATTATATTAAACATATCAAAATAAAGACATACATGTATTTATCAAATGAATAAAATTATTGAATACAGACTTAAAAAATTTATTAAACATAAACTTAAAAAATTAATTAATTAAACATATTCCAAATTTAGAAAAAATAAACTTTATTTATATATGCAACAGCTTTTTAAACTAAATTTTTAAATTCTATTTTATATTAGACAATTATCTCAATCAACATCTACGTCCACATTAGCTGCACTGCAGACTACCTCTACAGCCACATTATCTGCTCCGCGGATATAGCGTTATGCCAATACGATACATTACATGTACTTACTTACTTGCCTTTACTGTACCAACTCTTGTTCTTTCCACGTAATCATGTTTTTACAGTTATCGTTTGCTGTATATCTTCCAGCAAACTTTATTTCGTGTGAAGTGTATTTAATTAATTAAATCTCTGCGAAAGATTGAGAAGATGAAGGGATAATTCAAACTATGAAGACATGGTTACATGGAAAAGACAAGAGTTGATACAATAATAAAGACATACATGTATTTGTATCCTGCTGGCATAAGGTTATAGAAGTTGATTGAGATTGAAAAATAATAATGAAAATAATAAAAAAAATAAAGACACATGTATTTGTATCGTGCTGGCATAAAGTTATAAAAGTTGATTGAGATTGAAAAATAATAATAAAAATAATTAAAAAAAGGAAATATTCAATCATCATTTAAAAGCATATTTGAAATCTGTAGAATAAACAGTTTTTGCAAAAAATGTGGAGCATTAGAGCTCTAGTAAGTCTAAAAATAAATGTAAACATCAATTAATAATAACTGATGTTATATATATATTATATATATAAACCAATTTGTTGCAATATTCACTATAAAAGGTTGTAAGGGTAAGATGGCTAAAAGTGAATAATTTAAAAGATAGTTAACATAATTTTACATAAACTGAAATATTTCATAGAATAAAATATTTGTAATATTTCGAAGTTTATGTAAGATTATGTAAAAATTATACCTTTACAACTTTTTATAGTAAATATTGCGAGGAATCGATTTATATGAGAAAAATTAAGGTAATTCTATTTTGAAAATATAAGTGACCTTTAAATAACCTTGAAAATCGCCGTTTAGGAAAAAGTCTGTGTCAACTTTTTCTTTTTCGAAATCCTGCAACTTTTATCTAAATTTAATAGAAAATGTATAAAAAATGCTCGACATTAGTACACACACACACACACACACACACACACACACACACATGGGTAAATTTATATAAATAGGGTGCTTTAGGAGGAATGATCAGGATTCTAGGATATGATTGTACACATCATTTTAAGCAAAGAAGTTTAGATAAACATGTTTAATAATTGTTCTATTCCGGTCATAAAAATATACAAAAATGAATGATATAATCTCTAAAAACTCACCTTTAAAAAAAGGTAAAAAAAGGCGACCAGTTAAGGGCACGCCATTAACAAAAATTATCCATTGCAAACCCATGTAGAATCCTATCCTATTGCAAACCCATGTAGAATCCTATAAAAAATTAATCATTGCAAACCCATGTAGAATCCTAGGCAAAATTAACCATTGCAAACTCATGTAGAATTGTATTAAAAATGATCCATTGCAAACTTATGTAGAATCCTACATTGCAAACCTATGTACAATAGAATTGTATGAAAAATTATCGATTATAAATTCATGTACAATCGTAACAAAAGTAATGAAATAAAAAAAAAATTGCGCCAAGTGAAAGTAGAAACTTGTACCAGTGGAAAATTAAAGTTGCAGACATATATAGAGTCGTATAATGAATCAGTAAAAATTTAAATTTGCAAATGTAGAATCGTACCATAAAAAAACTTATCTTTTAAAAAAAAGATAAACAAGATGCCAAGTCCATGCGCCATGTAAAAAAGAAATAAAAAAATTTTAGTTAAAAAAACTGGGAGCGCGATTTCCCTTTCAGAAACAAGAATCGAATCACCGACCGATATTGCTCTTTTTCCATTTTTCTAAAATCCGCGGACACGCCCGCTTCCACACGCGGTCAAAACAAAACTACGAGTCGACTGAAATTTTGACAGTAGCCGTCTACGAGAATGTACTACACGATAGTAAAACTCTCTTGCGATACTGGTACCATCGGGCGATGAGGCTAAGTACTTATCGGACTGCCCTCGCGTATATATATATATATATATATATATATATATATATATATATATATATATTTATATATATTATATTTAATAATTAAATTTGTAACAATTTATAGATTTATAATTATAAAAATTTATAAAAAGTAATTTAAATTTATATATTAAAATCTTTTATATATTAACATAATTAAAAGGATACAACAAAAACAAAAAATTAGAAAGCAATTTATATTGAAGAATATAAAATACAAAAGTATTTTCAATAAACATTGAACTTGTAAATAAACACTACGATAAGAGAGGACGGGGAAAGGGGGGAAAGAGAGGGAGAGAAAGGGGAGTGGGAGGGGAGGGAGAGAGAGAGAGAGAGAGAGAGAGAGAGAGAGAGAGAGCATCTAACTATTTTTTATTATATTTTGAAAGATAGGAATATTATTGAGTAATTTATAAAACTGATTGCTTCAATCGAACAAGTGATAAATTTTTACTTATAACAATATAAAATTATATAAAAATATATAAAATAATACATATATTCGCAAAATTATATATGAAATATGTCCTTACATTTAATTAGATAAAAGTACTTTTATATATAATTATATAAATTTGTGCATATATAATAAATAAATGTTTCTTTATATATATAACATAAATATATATATATATATATATATAATTATATACATTTGTGCAGTCGGCGCGCGAAAAGTCGCCCTTTCCGCACATAATGAGATTTTAGAAAGGGTCCCTTTCCACGCAGCGGTCACACAAAATATCATAGCCAACATGTGCGGGTCATAAATCGATTAATCGTGCAGATTGTCACACTCGGCTTCGCCTCGTGCGCCAAACTTCCGCACTCTCGGCCGATTTACGATCCCCCGCACTTGTTAGCTAATATACTATTATACATATATAATAAATAAGTATTTTTTCATATATGTATATAAATATATGTTTCATATAATTTGACATGATATATATATATATATATATATATATATATATATATAACTTATTTATTATATATGTATATAATATATGCATAAGGATATTCAATTTTATTTGACATTAATTTAATTCGCGTAAAATATCCCCAGCATGATTAAATGTCGCAAAACTTGGAATTTTAGACCAATCGGCTTATTCATCTATTGGTCATCAGCGAAGAATCGTTTAACTTTGTAATTTAATGTTTAACCAACTTTGTATTTTAATATTTAACTTTGTATTTTAATATTTGATTTTTACGTATTGAAAAAGACTGTAGTACAGTCGAAACGTTTACGCTGTATATTGTTTCTCTAACGGAATGAGAATTTAATTATTTAATTATTAATAAATCTTTAGATCTTATTTAATTGTTCGTTTAGTTGGTCTACAATATTTACCTTTTTTTAAATTTTGTTAATATATACGAGTCTTTCATTAATTAATTTTAAATTTATATAATTATGTATAAAAATAGACATATTTCACATATAATTTTATGATTATATGTATAATTATATAATTATTTATATATAATTATATATAAAGAATTTTTTGGCGGAATATAGTAGTTTTTTAACATATAGTCAAAGTTCGAAACGAAATTTACGTAATTGCTTACTGCTGGACCAAATTTCAGAGGTTGCTAGGCTATAAATTTTCTTGACCGCTCGGACGAACATAATGAAAAAGGAACTTTACGAGTAAATGTGACGAAATGATTTCCTGCTGTGAATAATACCAAACCAAAAACGAGGTAACTAAAAGTGAATAACTCGAACAAATAAATAACTCATCATGAGGATGTCACAAAAGAAAGGATGAAATTCTTTTTTTCATTTATGGCTGATTCTATTATTACAGTAATAGAGATGAATTTTATACAGGAAAATATTTTGACTTTTATGCTGGAAAACTACTGTGTTTGATTTAAAATCGCAAAAGGAAATCTTACCTTTGTTCGTCCGAGCGGTTAAGAAAATTTATAGTCTAGCAACCTCTGAAATTTGGTCCAGCATTAAGCAATTACGTAAATTTCGTTTCGAAATTTGACTATATTAAAAAACTACTATATCCGGCCAAAAAATTTTTATATATAATTATATATAAATAACATATTATCTCTCTTTCTCTTGTTTATCTATCGTTATTATATGCAACCTATTTATTTTTTCGTAATTAAATAAATATTACTAAATATTATATATTGTTGCGTCCTCGGGACGCCTCTCGCTCAGTCACTCGCACACAGTCACTCTCACTCGCGCGCGAAATAAAGACACTCGCATAATAGGGAAATGAACTTTAATATGAGGAACCAATACACGAAACCAATGAAATATAACAAATAGTGCATTCGTAATGCAAAGAAGCTCAGGGTCTCGGAAAACGTCCGCACGATGCGACCGCTAGACCAAATCTGTCATGTCTCCCGAAAACAGAAGAAGACCCTTAGTTGTTTAACAACAACTCCCTTGACGACGATCTTCCGGAGGCGTAAAGAGTTGATCCCGCGAAAAGTATCACCCGATACAAAGATGTAGATCCAGGGGCGTAACACGGGGGCGCAACACTGCCCCCCTTCTTCAAAATTGTCGTCCCGACAATTCTCACGGAGATTGAAGACCCAGGACTCTGACGCTGCTATTAGGGCACCAACGATACTCCGCTCTCCCTTAGCTGCTGCTACAGGTTACCGAACGAAACGCCTGGTCCCTCTCTTTTTGCGTCTACACTGTCCGGACGAATCCTGCTCTCCCTTAGCTGCTGCTACAGGTTACCGAGCTTCGCCCTCCTCCTCTCCGTACTCGAACTGTTTTTTTGAAGAAAAATTGGCCAGATTTTTCCCATAACAGTCGAGTTGATAGAAGATATCCCTGCTGTCTTCGCGGTTTCACTATACTCGCCGTCTCCCGGAAGGATAACGAAATGGTCCATGAATCTTCAGACAAAGGGGGGAATATCTTCCGTGGACCCAACGTTCCTCGTGAACACCCTAAGTCTCTGTCCCGGCATTTGCCCTCAGTCTCGTGGGAAAACCACGGATCAAAAACCACGAGAGGGACAGTCTTCAACGTGATGAACCAAATGACCGATCTTCTGAAGATGAGACGGTCTTCTCAATTGAAAGGAGCCAGTTGCCCTCGATGAGTAATGGTCGCAGGAACTTCCTCAGAGAATTCTCTTGTAACAGAAACTCAGGCAAGCCTCTTCTTAAAAATTTCCAACTAGAAAAGAAAACATTCCTTACGCAGAATAAATTCACCAATTAAAAAAATGCACTTACAAATATACACACAAACACAACTCTCCAATTCCTAGCAATCTTTATTTGAGTTTTGTACTATTTCTAATTAACAATCAATATTTCTATCTAAAAATGGAGCTAATCTATCTGCATGCACTACTTTCTTCCGATGTCTGGGTGTCTTCTGAATGCAGTACACCACATCGTTGAATTTCTTTACAATAGAGAAAGGTCCTTCTAACACTACAATCAATGAGATCAACAAAATTGGACGTCGGGGCGTTTTCTGTAAGAATTGAATTTTCCCCGAAAAATTCAACTATCTCTAGTTTTTCTTCGCCTCAGGACATTGAAAACGCAAATGCCCAGTCTTCCCGCAAGACCAACATTCTTTCTCTTTGGCCGAAAAGTTGTTCGCTTGCGCTTCCCCTTTCGAGTCAAACCGTTCGCTTTTCTTTTTTTCGGAATCGGTTCGCGCGTCGCTCCTCTCTCCTTTTTGATAATTTTGACTTATTTTGCCGTAATTTTCTTTATTACTAAAATTGTCTCTTTTTCTATCAAAACTATCCCCCTGAATTATTTTTATGGCCTTAGCTCTTTCTATAGCCAAATTTAAAGATGTAATTCCCTCCAGTTGAAGGGTTCTTTTGACAAACCCGTCTATTAATGCCGAGACAAATTGCGCGCATGCTATTTTATCGCGGACCGCATATGGACATTCGGGGTAAGCCAGACGCGACAGTCTCTCAAGTTCGGCTCCAAAGGAAGCGAAATCCTCTCCATATTTTTGCTTCCGTGTCGTAAAAAGATAGTAATAATTTTGCGTCAAGTTTCCGTCTTCAAAAAGCAACTCTAATTTTGATTTTAATTCCGCGAATGTTAATTCTTCAAAATTCTCGACATTTTCTAAAACGGACCGAGCTTTTCCCCTTAAATTTGCAGCGAGAGTAATCATTTTTGCTTTCTCATCCCAATTATTCGCAACGGCTATCAAAAGAAATTGGGAGAGGAACTCCCGCAGCGGAACCCTTCCATCGAATGTATCGGGCTTCAGTTTTAAGCCCGTTTTCGCACGAAAGTCACCGGTCGTCTCGCCCGCGTTTATCACGGCACTCGCGGCTATCGCGGCACTCGCGGTACTCGCGCAAGCTAAATTCAGTCGTGTATCCCCAGAAGCTCTTATATTAGAAGGACTTAGCTGGTTAGTTTGCTGCGAGGAGATCCTCAATTCGAGCTGGTGCAGCTGTTCGTCCTTCTCTCGGAGAAGAGCCTCAAAGCGAGCTTGCTGATGTTCTCGTTCGGCCCGCATTTCTCGTAGTTCTCGCAGTGCGGTCTGCAACGCATCCGTCTCGTCTATCTCCTTCATCGTTGTTCAGGAACGCGTCGCTTTCGGCGAATGTTGAGTCGTCATTTTGGCGTTCTCTCAGGAAGATGCGATTCTTTCGGTTTTGATCCCGGACGAGCCCCCAAAATGTTGCGTCCTCGGGACGCCTCTCGCTCAGTCACTCGCACACAGTCACTCTCACTCGCGCGCGAAATAAAGACACTCGCATAATAGGGAAATGAACTTTAATATGAGGAACCAATACACGAAACCAATGAAATATAACAAATAGTGCATTCGTAATGCAAAGAAGCTCAGGGTCTCGGAAAACGTCCGCACGATGCGACCGCTAGACCAAATCTGTCATGTCTCCCGAAAACAGAAGAAGACCCTTAGTTGTTTAACAACAACTCCCTTGACGACGATCTTCCGGAGGCGTAAAGAGTTGATCCCGCGAAAAGTATCACCCGATACAAAGATGTAGATCCAGGGGCGTAACACGGGGGCGCAACAATATTAATTAAATAAATATTATTGAATAATATTTATGTATTTATAGAAGGACTTTAAAATTGTATACCCTAATGCAGCATAGGCTTGATTAAGATAAACAAATTTTAAAATAAAAAAATAAATTACTTTTATTATTTCAGATGGCGAGTACCTCTTTGTGGATCCCGAGAATAAACTAAACAAATATGCCCCAAAGAATTGGCGAAACTCTCATACATTTGTAAGTATAATAGTTTCTTATTTCACTTATTTGTTACTTATTCCTTTGCAATAATCAATTAAATAAATTAAAAAACTCTAAATAGTTTTAGTTTTTTTTAGACTAGTGGCATTTTTTAATTCGATGTTTAGTTAAAATTAGATACAATTTTATATGACAGTTACGTTACTGTCACGAAAGTATATAAATTTATATTTAAATTAAAAATATTATATAGAGATTAATTTTTTAGAATGGTTTATTAAAATCACAGGGAAGTATAATAAATTTTATTAATTTAAAAAATTTTTTAAATTGTATGTTATTTTAGCCAAACAAAATAATATAATATATTATAATTTTATTCTACATAAAACTGCTTCTGAGATTTAGAACTTGTCTCTTTTTAATAATAGTATATAGGATCGAAAATTTTAATACAAGTGAAATGAATATAATTAAATTTTTATAAATGTAAGTAAAAAGATAGAATAAAATGTTTTTATATTTAAAGTTTCATATTGCTAAATATAATAATAATTTATTATTATTTGTTGCATGTATAACAATATATATTTCTGATTATATTTATATATCATTTACAACCATTATCAGAGCAAATATTTTATGATCAATTTACTGATAGTCATTGTATTCTAACGCTTAATTAATATACATATTATATTATTTTCAGGGTTTAGATAGCAGTGGAAGACCAGCTTTTGTTCTATATTTTCGAGTTCGTTTTATATTGATACGCCATTGCTCTTAGGTAAGACGCAAACATTTTATTTAAAAATGTTCTTTATTTATTTAATAATAGTTTGAAATATAATAGAAATCCAATATGTTTACATGTCGATTAATCAATAAATGATGCATTCAAGGAAAGAACAGGAAAAACATAAATTCGAGTTAATTTTGTAAATTATACATAATTATAAATAATAAATAATTATTATTTTGTTTTTGTTATGAATATATGTAACTATATATATAACTATATATATATATATATAGTTAGAATCAGGGTTGGATAAGTTAATGATTTTTTAAAACTAACAATAAGTTAAGTTAAAGTTACTTATAAAATTAATTTAGTTAAGTTAAGAGTTGCACGAACAAAAAATCAACTCAGTTAAAGTTAAGTTAAGATTAAATTAACTGAAATTAAATTAAAAGTTAATTTTTAAAATATTATTTATATTAAATTAGAATTTTGTTTGTTAATTCTTTTGAAATTTATAATAACAAATAACAAAGAAATTTTGATTTCAAATAAACATAAAAATTAATAATATACTTTAATTTAAAAATAATATGTTTATAACTTATAAAAAACAATAATAGTATTTAGAGATAAAAAAATTTAACTTTAGAAGAAAGTCAGTAAGTTTAAGGTAAAATACTAGTTAAAATTAAAAATTAATACATTTTAAATTAAATTTATAATAAAAGTTTTTGCTTGTATGAATTCAACAAATTGACAAAAGAAAGGCTAACTAAAATGACCTACCTTAAGGGATTCTTGAGCAAATGACGAACTCCGACAAAATAGCAGCACACATATCCAAAACATATGCACAAATACACAACGCACGCACACATACGTACGAATCGTATTTCTAATTATATATTTTTATTACACTTCTAATCCAGATTTAGAGGATAACAGTGCTTTCTTTCGTGTCCTCTAATCCCAGGAAATGTGGATTTTTATTTGTACAAAGAACATATGTTTTATATAAAGCACATATTATGATGTGGTTGACAGTTTGTCTGCAATTCGAGATGTTATATTGAGATGAAAATAGATAAGAAAAACTGTTATTTCTCATTTTTTATATCAAATCGAGTTTTCTTGAGATTATTGATGCATGTATTGCAATCGTAGAGAAGCATTTTATATTCTAACAAATTAATGCAAAGAAATCCTAGAAGTACGAAAATATACGGCTGTGTCGATAAAACAGATAATCGTGAAGGATCCGCTTAATTCAGGATATCAAACAAAATTTATTATTACAAATAGAAACATATCAAACAAGTTATTGCAACTGTTTCAACTATACAACAGTCTTCCTCATTACATTAAATTTTATAATTAATACATAATAAATTAAATAAGCAATAAACATTTGAAAACAAAAGATTGAAAAACCAAAGATTAAAACGTCTATGTCTAAAAGTATATGTTAACTCGCATATTGATAATTAGTTTATGTTGTCTAAAATGTTTCGCAATGTTACAAATATAATTAATTATTAGGACCATGTTTCAATAAAGAAAGAAAAAACTGTCAGCTCAAATTTGTCGTTAATAAGCGAAAATAAGGCAGTCCGATTTCTTTAGGAGTCAATCTTTTAAAATTCTTAGCTCGGTCCGTGGTTGAAATATTTTACTATTGATGTGGTGTGAATGTTTATACTAAAATACCTTTTTCGAATTTTCAAAATAATAATTATATAATAAACTTATATGTATCGAATTTTTCTTCAGATTTATTGTTATATTTAAATCGTTCTTAGGCTTAGTTATGTTGATATGTTTAAGAGACAGATAAAACTATAATGCCTGATGATAAACCGATATAAATAACAATATTTTAAGCATGACTCACCTAATGACTCACCCAAGAACATCAAAATAATTCTACCAAGTAACTCAATCAGTGTCTTTATTTAAATTAATGTTATTTTTTGTTCTTTAATGTGTAACATTTCTGATATTTTAATCTTTTATGATAATTTTTTCGTGATCTGCTATCCTAGTATTTTCCCAATCGAATGCATGTGATTAATTCAATATATATTCAGTGATCACTAAATGTCTTGTTGAATCCAATTTGATATTTTTCTTGTGTTCTTTGAGCCTAGTGCACAGTTGTCTTTTCGTCTGTCCTATATATGCTGCATCACAATTCTTGCAACTTATTTTGTAAATGACATATTTGAATTGTTCGAAAGATGATTTTTATCTTTTTGTGTAGTGATAATACTATTTAATTTTTTTATGCAAGCTTATTTTTATCTTGTTGATATCCTATTTTTATCTTATTGTTAGATTTTTGATCGCTGACGCAACTAATTCTGAGATTTCCTCAATGTAAGGTATCGCAACAAATTTGTTATTAATATCCTCCGTAATATTATTACTATTCTTCGTGTTATTTAATTCTATTACATTTAGTTTATTAAAAATAAGATATTTTATTCTAGTTAATTTCTATAAACATGAGATTGTGAGGGTATCGTTGATCAGCAATGTATATTTATGATAAATTCCAAATTTTTATTGTGAAATATACATTTTAAATTAACTATAAGCTAAGTTAAAAGTAACTTTTTATTAACTTTTAACTAATTAACTAGTTATTACCCAACTCTGCTAATTTCAATATAAATATTTTATATTTGCAACTCTCAATCTGTACAAACGCTTACAAACAACAAACATTATAATTCATTGATTGTGTATACAATACATATTTTCACTTATTAATTATTAATTAAGTTAATTTTTGATGACTCATGTTGCTTTCAGCGATGAGACAACGAGACATCATTATTATCTGCAGTTACGTGACAATGTCGTCAGACATGGCGGCGGAGTGGAGAGCCTCCATCCTCATCATCCCCTTCACAATTCATCCATCATTACGTCACTATTCGCCCTCGCTGGACTTGCTCTTCAAGCTGATCTTGGCGACTATTCGAAGGAACGGCATAGACCACACGCAGGATCTGTCGGCTACTGCAAATTCACAGATTATCTTCCTTCTCATGTAAATTGAAAATTTGAATGTTTTGCGTGGCATAATAGAAAAGAATTACAAATTAATGTGAAATAAAAAGAAATATATTTATTAAAGTGATTTTGAAACTGTTCTGTTTTATCAACAAAATGATTATTTTTGCGCACGCTTTCCTTTTTATTGATCGAATTGAATAATAAATGCTTTTCCATGATTAAAGTACATATAGAAACAAATCGGGGACCTACCGATTTTATGTTGAAAACAAAAAATTAAATAAAATTTTTAGGATTATCTTAAGGGGATGTTGGAGATGGTCTGTCTTACCGAATGCAATTAGCGATATCTGCAAAAACTTTTTATTAACTATACAGATCAATAAATCCTTTTTTACGATTAAAATATTTATAAAAACGGTCTTCGCTAATTATAATTTCATGTAAAAACAACAAAAAAGTTAAATAATTACAGATTTGTTATCGACTTGTTTGTATCAACTCGTAACAATATTTATTTAATAAAAAAGTTCTCGTCTGTGCATAAAATATAGCTAGCGAGAAAGGTAACTTAAAGGAATATTAGTGAACAATTAGAAGTGAGATTGTAATCGTCACTCCGGCATCCCTTTAAAACTTAAGATATGTAAATATTTTAGTCATCAAATCCGAGATTTTCATAAAAAAAAAATAATTATGACTCTAACTTGAATTTTTTTATTTTATAATTGCAATTGGTAAAACTATACATAAACCTTAAAAAAAAATAGATGCAGTTTTAATGACTTTGACTTTGACCTTGGTGTTACGGTCACAATTCTAATAAGTATTCCCCAAAAGTATTTACGCGTCGTACGCTCAATTGTTATATTAATTATAAAAATTATCGAGATGACAATAATTTTAACAATATGTATTCAAATTAAAGTAATTGGGGCTGGGATTTTTATAAAGTTTTAGCTTATAATTTTTATAATTTAAACGAACACACTCTTGCAGATATGTCTTGAGTCGAACATGCTCACTGCGCTCGCAGTCCAACATAAGGAGAACAGTGGACTCTCCAGAGAGGAGGCAGAGTTACAATACATTCGAGAAGCAATTCTGTTGGAGGCGCCGCTCAACGCTCATTTATATCGGTTACGTCGAAACAAGAATGAGGCGGGACCTGGACGCATACTCCTCGCAATCTGCGCCCGTGGAGTTCGTATTTATACTGAAGAGAAAACGCCGCGCATCTTCGCTTGGAACAACATCGGCAAACTCTCCTTCGATGTAAGTTAATATAATCTCTAAAAACTCACCTTTAAAAAAAGGTAAAAAAAGGCGACCAGTTAAGGGCACGCCATTAACAAAAATTATCCATTGCAAACCCATGTAGAATCCTATCCTATTGCAAACCCATGTAGAATCCTATAAAAAATTAATCATTGCAAACCCATGTAGAATCCTAGGCAAAATTAACCATTGCAAACTCATGTAGAATTGTATTAAAAATGATCCATTGCAAACTTATGTAGAATCCTACATTGCAAACCCATGTACAATAGAATTGTATGAAAAATTATCGATTATAAATTCATGTACAATCGTAACAAAAGTAATGAAATAAAAAAAAATTGCGCCAAGTGAAAGTAGAAACTTGTACCAGTGGAAAATTAAAGTTGCAGACATATATAGAGTCGTATAATGAATCAGTAAAAATTTAAATTTGCAAATGTAGAATCGTACCATAAAAAAACTTATCTTTTAAAAAAAAGATAAACAAGATGCCAAGTCCATGCGCCATGTAAAAAGAAATAAAAAAATTTTAGTTAAAAAAACTGGGCGCGCTGCTAACAAGGGACATGTCACAACTGTCCGGAACCGATTTGATTCTCCTTGAAATATGTTGTTAAATACACAAATCTAAAAGACACGTATTTTTTTATACGTGCGCAATTTGAGTTTTAAGGGGTGAAACACCCCTTTAAAGAATAACGGTATTTTTCTTTAGGATCAAATATCTGCTAAACTATAAGAGATATAAAGAAAAAACGTACAACAAATTTTAATGGCTTGAAGAGTACTTTAAAGTTATATGAACAAAAATTTTTTTTTTTTTTTTTTTTTAAAAAAACCCTCACCACCTAATTTTTTTTTTCAAAATTAAAAATTTTGTTTTACCTAATTTAAAGCTTATTTTTTTCCAAATTCAACCATGTGTAATAAAGTTATGTTACGAAATATCATTAATTAATGAAAGACTCGTATATATTAACAAAATTTAAAAAAAGGTAAATATTGTAGACCAACTAAACGAACAATTAAATAAGATCTAAAGATTTATTAATAATTAAATAATTAAATTCTCATTCCGTTAGAGAAACAATATACAGCGTAAACGTTTCGACTGTACTACAGTCTTTTTCAATACGTAAAAATCAAATATTAAAATACAAAGTTAAATATTAAAATACAAAGTTGGTTAAACATTAAATTACAAAGTTAAACGATTCTTCGCTGATGACCAATAGATGAATAAGCCGATTGGTCTAAAATTCCAAGTTTTGCGACATTTAATCATGCTGGGGATATTTTACGCGAATTAAATTAATGTCAAATAAAATTGAATATCCTTATGCATATATTATATACATATATAATAAATAAGTTATATATATATATATATATATATATATATATATATATCATGTCAAATTATATGAAACATATATTTATATACATATATGAAAAATACTTATTTATTATATATGTATAATAGTATATTAGCTAACAAGTGCGGGGGATCGTAAATCGGCCGAGAGTGCGGAAGTTTGGCGCACGAGGCGAAGCCGAGTGTGACAATCTGCACGATTAATCGATTTATGACCCGCACATGTTGGCTATGATATTTTGTGTGACCGCTGCGTGGAAAGGGACCCTTTCTAAAATCTCATTATGTGCGGAAAGGGCGACTTTTCGCGCGCCGACTGCACAAATGTATATAATTATATATATATATATATATATATTTATGTTATATATATAAAGAAACATTTATTTATTATATATGCACAAATTTATATAATTATATATAAAAAGTACTTTTATCTAATTAAATGTAAGGACATATTTCATATATAATTTTGCGAATATATGTATTATTTTATATATTTTTATATAATTTTATATTGTTATAAGTAAAAATTTATCACTTGTTCGATTGAAGCAATCAGTTTTATAAATTACTCAATAATATTCCTATCTTTCAAAATATAATAAAAAATAGTTAGATGCTCTCTCTCTCTCTCTCTCTCTCTCTCTCTCTCTCTCTCTCTCTCTCTCCTCTCCCTCCCTCCCTCCCTCTCTTTCCTCCCTCTTTCCCCCTTCCCCGTCCTCTCTTATCGTAGTGTTTATTTACAAGTTCAATGTTTATTGAAAATACTTTTGTATTTATATTCTTCAATATAAATTGCTTTCTAATTTTTGTTTTTGTTGTATCCTTTTAATTATGTTAATATATAAAAGATTTTAATATATAAATTTAAATTACTTTTTATAAATTTTTATAATTATAAATCTATAAATTGTTACAAATTTAATTATTAAATATAATATATATAATATATATATATATATATATATATATATATATATATATATATATATATATACGCGAGGGCAGTCCGATAAGTACTTAGCCTCATCGCCCGATGGTACCAGTATCGCAAGAGAGTTTTACTATCGTGTAGTACATTCTCGTAGACGGCTACTGTCAAAATTTCAGTCGACTCGTAGTTTTGTTTTGACCGCGTGTGGAAGCGGGCGTGTCCGCGGATTTTAGAAAATGGAAAAAGAGCAATATCGGTCGGTGATTCGATTCTTGTTTCTGAAAGGGAAATCGCGCTCCCAGTTTTTTTAACTAAAATTTTTTTATTTCTTTTTACATGGCGCATGGACTTGGCATCTTGTTTATCTTTTTTTTAAAAGATAAGTTTTTTTATGGTACGATTCTACATTTGCAAATTTAAATTTTTACTGATTCATTATACGACTCTATATATGTCTGCAACTTTAATTTTCCACTGGTACAAGTTTCTACTTTCACTTGGCGCAATTTTTTTTTTATTTCATTACTTTTGTTACGATTGTACATGAATTTATAATCGATAATTTTTCATACAATTCTATTGTACATAGGTTTGCAATGTAGGATTCTACATAAGTTTGCAATGGATCATTTTTAATACAATTCTACATGAGTTTGCAATGGTTAATTTTGCCTAGGATTCTACATGGGTTTGCAATGATTAATTTTTTATAGGATTCTACATGGGTTTGCAATAGGATAGGATTCTACATGGGTTTGCAATGGATAATTTTTGTTAATGGCGTGCCCTTAACTGGTCGCCTTTTTTTACCTTTTTTAAAGGTGAGTTTTTAGAGATTATATCATTCATTTTTGTATATTTTTATGACCGGAATAGAACAATTATTAAACATGTTTATCTAAACTTCTTTGCTTAAAATGATGTGTACAATCATATCCTAGAATCCTGATCATTCCTCCTAAAGCACCCTATTTATATAAATTTACCCATATGTGTGTGTGTGTGTGTGTGTGTGTGTGTGTGTGTACTAATGTCGAGCATTTTTTATACATTTTCTATTAAATTTAGATAAAAGTTGCAGGATTTCGAAAAAGAAAAAGTTGACACAGACTTTTTCCTAAACGGCGATTTTCAAGGTTATTTAAAGGTCACTTATATTTTCAAAATAGAATTACCTTAATTTTTCTCATATAAATCGATTCCTCGCAATATTTACTATAAAAAGTTGTAAAGGTATAATTTTTACATAATCTTACATAAACTTCGAAATATTACAAATATTTTATTCTATGAAATATTTCAGTTTATGTAAAATTATGTTAACTATCTTTTAAATTATTCACTTTTAGCCATCTTACCCTTACAACCTTTTATAGTGAATATTGCAACAAATTGGTTTATATATATAATATATATATAACATCAGTTATTATTAATTGATGTTTACATTTATTTTTAGACTTACTAGAGCTCTAATGCTCCACATTTTTTGCAAAAACTGTTTATTCTACAGATTTCAAATATGCTTTTAAATGATGATTGAATATTTCCTTTTTTTAATTATTTTTATTATTATTTTTCAATCTCAATCAACTTTTATAACTTTATGCCAGCACGATACAAATACATGTGTCTTTATTTTTTTTATTTTTCATTATTATTTTTCAATCTCAATCAACTTCTATAACCTTATGCCAGCAGGATACAAATACATGTATGTCTTTATTATTGTATCAACTCTTGTCTTTTCCATGTAACCATGTCTTCATAGTTTGAATTATCCCTTCATCTTCTCAATCTTTCGCAGAGATTTAATTAATTAAATACACTTCACACGAAATAAAGTTTGCTGGAAGATATACAGCAAACGATAACTGTAAAAACATGATTACGTGGAAAGAACAAGAGTTGGTACAGTAAAGGCAAGTAAGTAAGTACATGTAATGTATCGTATTGGCATAACGCTATATCCGCGGAGCAGATAATGTGGCTGTAGAGGTAGTCTGCAGTGCAGCTAATGTGGACGTAGATGTTGATTGAGATAATTGTCTAATATAAAATAGAATTTAAAAATTTAGTTTAAAAAGCTGTTGCATATATAAATAAAGTTTATTTTTTCTAAATTTGGAATATGTTTAATTAATTAATTTTTTAAGTTTATGTTTAATAAATTTTTTAAGTCTGTATTCAATAATTTTATTCATTTGATAAATACATGTATGTCTTTATTTTGATATGTTTAATATAATTAGAAATTCATTATTAATTAGATATGTAAACTATAAATTCATATATATTTGAAAATATATGTGAATATTTAAATTTTTATCTTCTCCTTCCTCTCCTTCAATCTCTTTAATATCAATATGTGTATGTGTGTACACGCGCGCACATTTGTACGTATTTATTTAATTATTGGATAGTTGAGAGTACTTAATTGATAAAAAATTATGACAATAATAATCCTTGTTTTTTTTTCTTATTATTTACTCAGATTTTTTTGTCTATCTTATAAGATAAACACTTTAGAGATTGAATATTTCAAGTAAACTAATTGTAAGTAAATTTCACATTAATGCATATAGATGTTTAATCATGAATGTACTGAATAAGTACACAAGACGAACAGTGAGTGAGTGAGTGAGAATGAGAGAGTGTGTGTGTGTGTGCGTGTGTGTGTGTGAGAGAGAGAGAGAGAGAGAGGAGAGAGAGAGAGAGAGAGAGAGAGAGAGAGAGAGAGAGAGAGAAGAGAGAGAGAGAGAGAGAGAGAGAGAAGAGAGAGAGAGAGTTAGCAACATAACCCCGCACGCTGCCGATATGGCGGAGCGCCACTATCGCCATCTGTTGTAAAACGTGCGAGATGGACAAAATTACCACTACATGCATCTTGCATGTGTTGTGTACGTGTGATATATGTGTGCGCATGTGTTGTATACGTGTGAATACGTGTAGCACGATACTACTATGTATGCGTGGTCGATGATGATAATGATGATGATAATGATGATGATAATGATGACGGGGACGTTTCTTAATAGAAATTTTTCATATTTCGACTTTGCATTTATATATCTCTGCTTACAAATCACGTAGAGCAGAAATAAAGACACTTTTATTATATAATTCGAACTCAATCTATCGATTAAGTCTAGTATAAACTCGATTGCTTCAGCCATTATTGAGGATTCGAAATATTATAAAGACTCAAATGTCCGACTCGCGTTAAGATACACGGTGTCTCCGCTACGCCCTTAACTGGTCGCGAGACACTACCGTGTCTCTTGATTTCTATAAATGCTTTGTCATTACTACTTAATCACTGTAACATTAAATTATGACTAAAAAAGCCCAAGTAGCAAATGACATTATTTTGACGTCTAATGATATCATTCGCCGTCAAAAAGACGTCTGTTACTTGGAAACCTTTGATTGGCTAACTAAATCTCTCTTCCATTTTTCTCCACCAATACACCCTCCATTCCTGACCCATCAAAGAAATATATTATTGAAAATATATTTATTCTTTGTATATTTATTAGTTTTCTGTTGTAGGTTTCTTTTTAATTAAAGTTTTTTTGTATATTATTTACGCATATTCGTAAAAATTGCTTTTATTTTTTACACAGCGCAAAAGTTCGAAATTCGAGCGGTTGATCAGCCACACAAACTCACTCTCTACAGTGGCTGCGATGACAAGAGTAAACACCTTTTGGGACTTTGCCGTGACACTCATCAATTTTCCATGGCTATAGCACCTAAAGTAAATGAAGCTAAGAGACAAGAAGAAGAAGGTGAGCTCTTGCTGTGTTATTCTTTTAGGGGTAAATTAGAGATGAAAAAACACAGGATGTATCTAAATAAGTGCGAACAATTTTAGGAGATGATTCTTTATCAAAAATTAAGAGGTTCTCTAATTTGTCTTTTCTCCTTTTTAAAATTTGCGTTAAAAATTAAATAAACACTTAAAAATAAATTATAATAATATAATTGAATATGATTTATAGAACGGAAAATGTTGAGGGATTGTTACATGTATCCTACCCAATGCAAGCTGAGCTTAAAAACGTGCGGTGCGCGCAGCGACCAACGAATTTCTGTCATTTCGAGTACATCCTCAAACACTACTTCCGGTATTGTCAGCGATCGGGTGCACAGTGAAGACGAACCGGATACTGCACCTGCATCAACAGAATGTTTGCCACATCTTACCGAAACGGCGTCTTATTCGACCGCGCAAAGTAGAATCTTAAACTGCACGAATGTGGAAACGGACGGTTGCTCTGTACCTTCTCCTGTTATCGACGGTAAGCTTACTTGATAACAGAAATTTTATTTTAAAAAAGCACAGAACTAATACAACATACTTCCACATTATATGGAGTAAAATCGCTCCCGCAGTCAATCTACATATATCATTTTATCATTTATGTTTAAGATAAATAGATAATAGATGATAGATAAGATAAATAGATAATAGATGATAGATAAGATAAATAGTTTAATTAAACATTATATGTTTTAGTTTTATTAATATTGTACGGCCCTGATCCAGGTGATTCTAAAGTCGTCCTGTTTTACCGACAAAATGATATTTTTGCGCACGTTTTTCTTTTTATTGGTTGAATAAAATAATAAATGCATATCCACGATTAAAGTTTATGTAAAAACAAAGCAAGAACATATCGATTTTATGTTAAAAACAAACAAAAATTTGAAAACTAAAAAATTGTTTATACAACACTTTTATTTTATACATATTATTGGAATGAAAATGATTACTAAAGGAAAATTCCAGAATAGAGAGCAATAACTTGGTTCCGACGAGAGTGTAGAATAAATATAGAACCTATAATGTTTTATTTACTGACGTGGCTTTTTATAATTATGTGCAGATTGTTCATGTACACATAATTTTAACATAATTGCATGACTATTTTTAGAGTTTGATGATTCCGGTGTCAATTCCACGTTGATGGAGCGTTTTGCAACGAACACTATGATGGCTACCGAAGGTTCACAGTGCAGCAGCAGCTGCAGCACAATTGTCATCGTTAATACACTACGAGCAGGCCATCACAATGCGTCGCACTTCAGCAACTTCTAGCTTGGAATTAGGCTATTCACACACGGCACAAAACTCCGCAAGTTCCTCGGAAACAGTCAGTTACCCTAGCACTATTTACGACAGGTGTAAAAAGACAGGTAAATATAATCTGATTCAGTTCAGTAAACGGTTTTGCAAACGATCGAGGTACCAGTTTTAAAATTGCCAGAATCTAGCTGAGCTTCTATTCTAGCATTTCCTTTAAATCCACACTTTTAATCTAATGAAGACTAAATCAATATTTATATATAAGGTGATAATAAAATCTAAATAATATTTTTTTAGGTACTGATATTGCGAGCGAGACAAGTGGTGTATACACATTGAGAAGCAATGAAATCCAAGACGAAAGAATCGGCGATAATTTATATTCACCTACTGGCGAGACCAATGTTTCTTCAGCGGCAAGCGATGTTTGTGCTCTCAGTTGCATTCAATCTTCCACCGACGAGGCATCTGTTACGTCCGGTTTTTATACCACTCACAGCGGGTTACAGTCCGAAAGTAGTGACGCTTATACCGTTGGCACAGAAGATCAGGAACCCATATACAGCATTTGTAAAGATGATGACGAGGTCTCTCTTAATCAACGACTCGAGGACTCGCGCTCGCGCAGCAACAGCATACTCACGCGGGCAGCTTCCGTGGCGACGGAAGTGATCCGTCCAGAGCGAGGCCGCTTTTATCGGCCGACGAATTATCAGACCTGATAGTCGGTCGATATCCCCGCGTAAGACCATTAGCAATTCCATGGATTCGGATTGCGATTACATGACTATGCCACCGCTCCGCCACCGCCACCGCAAATCGCAGCCAT